AGTGGAGATGTCCTGTTTAAGGGCAATGTGTGGTGTAAATATTATGCAGAAAATTCGGAGTGTGGAAATTAGGAGAAGGTGTGGAGTTAATAAAAGTATTAGTCAGAGGGCAGAAGAGGGGTTGTTGAGGTGGTTTGGTCATTTAGAGAGAATGGATCAAAGTAGAATGACATGGAAAGCATATAAATCTATAGGGGAAGGAAGGCGGGGTAGGGTTCGTCCTCGAAAGGGTTGGAGAGAGGGGGTAAAGGAGGTTTTTGTGGGCAAGGGGCTTGGACTTCCAGCAAGCGTGCGTGAGCGTGTTAGATAGGAGTGAATGGAGACGAATGTTACTTGGGACCTGACGATCTGTTGGAGTGTGAGCAGGGTAATATTTAGTGAAGGGATTCAGGGAAACCGGTTATTTTCATATAGTCGGACTTGAGTCCTGGAAATGGGAAGTACAATGCCTGCACTTTAAAGGAGGGGTTTGGGATATTGGCAGTTTGGAGGGATATGTTGTGTATCTTTATATGTGTATGCTTCTAGACTGTTGTATTCTGAGCACCTCTGCAAAAGCAGTGATAATGTGCGAGTGTGGTGAAAGTGTTGAATGATGATGAAAGTATTTTCTTTTTGGGGATTTTCTTTCTTTTTTTTGGGTCACCCTGCCTCGGTGGGAGACGGCCGACTTGTTGAAAAAAAAAAAAAAAAAAAAATTTATGATGGGTTGGGATAGATTAAGGAGATAAGGCATTTTTTAATTGTATTTTTAAAAATGCTTGCCGAGCCAGTGGTTCTGGAGATTTCTGGCAGAGAGTTCCAGATTTTGGGCCCTTTTATATACAACGAGTTTTTGAAAAGATTTAGCCTACACGGGAATGTCATAGAGCTTTTTGTGCCTAGTGTTGTGTCTATGAGTCCTATTGCAACTGACAAGAAAGTGTTTCAAGTCAGGATTTATATTTGAATTGATTATTCTGTGAATGTAGGTTGCACAATAGTATGAGTGAATATTTTATATAGTGAGTAGGTTTAGGTCTTTGAAGAGTGGAGGGGCTGGGGTGTTGTCTAGTAGTGGATTGTGTGATCATATGCACTGCAGCTTTTTGTTGGGTTATTTTTGGGTTTAGGTGATTTGTCATTGTGGAACCCCAGGCACAAATAACATAGGTGAGGTACAGGTAGATCAGTGAACAGTATAGTGTAAGCAGTGCTGTTTGTGGTACATAGTAACGTATCTTAGAGAGGATGCAAACTGTTTTAGATATTTTTTATGTTATGTGTTGGACATGGGTGTTGAATTTCAGGTTGCTATCAAGGTGCAGACCTCACTTGCTCTACTCCCAAACATAAGTTAAGTGTAAATTTATTGACAGTCAACCAGGTAGCTATTTTTGTGAGTTTTTTGTTAACAGTAGTGTTGAGTGAGGCTAAATTTTGGTCATGTTGACTTTTCTCTGACTACACTGAAAAAAAATACTGGAATAAATGATGAATGATCCTATAATATTTTTTAACACAACATCCATTTCCCACCAAGTCAGGGTGACCCAACAAAGAAGAAATACTGTCATCATCATTCACTCCATCACTGTCTTGCCAGAAGCATGCCTACACTATAGTTAAAAAACTGCAACATATCAACACTTCTCCTTCAGAGGGCAAGCAGTGTACATCCCACCTCCAGGACTCAAGTCCGGCCTGTTGGTTTCCCTGAATCCCTTCATAATTGTTACTTTGCTCACACTCCAACAGCACATCAAGTCATAAAATCCATTTGTCTCCACTCGCTCCTATCTAAAACACTCACGCATACTTGCTGGAAGTCGAAGCCCCTTGTACATAAAACCTCCTTTACTCTCTTCCTCCAACCTTTCCTAGGCCAACCCCTGCCCCAGCTTCCTTTGCCCCAGCTTCCTTTGCTCTAGCTTCCTTCCACTACAGATTTATACACTCTTTAAGTCCTTCTACAGTGGAACCTTAGTTGTCGAATTTAATTTGTTACAGATGCTGATTCTACAACCAAAATTGATGACAACCAAAGTGATTTTTCCCATAAAGAATAATGCAAATAGAATTAATCCGTTCCAGATCCCAAATGACAATGTATATACTAACTACGTACTACATAAAAGAATGTATAAAATTATTCACCACAGGGAAACAGTAAAAATGAATACTAAATAAAAATTTAACTGAAATACTCTACAGTAAATGAAAATTTAACTGCCTCTTACATGTCAGATGAGAGCTAATGGCAAAATTTTAGCACTTTCTAATACAATCAAGCAAAAAAAGGGAGCTTCATCATCTCTGAAGTATTAGCAAAAATCCTGCTCAGAACAAACCCTGCCATCACATAGTCTCTGCTGCTAATACTGCACAAGAACATAGCAGAGGAGAAACAATGAAACGGGCCTTTTCAAATCCAACCACTAATATAAATATTTGTCTAACCTATTTTTATGCTACCCAAATAATAGCTTTAACCCTTTCAGGGTTTCGGCCATACTAGTACGGCTTACGCACCAGGGTCCATGACATACTAGTACCCATAAATTCTAGCGCCTTCAAATCTAGTGAGAGAAGGCTGGTAGGCCTACATATGAAAGAATGGGTCTATGTGGTGAGTGTGCGCAGTATAAAAAAAATCCTGCAGCACACAGTGCGTAATGAGAAAAAAAAAACTTTGACCATGTTTTGGGATTAACCCGTAAACAGTCCAAGCAGATCTACGTTCACATGTGTAGTGCTACAAAAGTAGATCTACTTTTTTTTACATATTTTCAAATATAACAAAAAAAAGAGTAGATCAAAGTTTTTTTTACACATTTTCAAATGTAAAAAAACAAAAAGAAGATCTACTTTTTTTTACATACTTTCAAATGTTGAAAAAACATATATATACGTTTGGACCGTTTATGGGTTAACCCTTTCAGGGTCCATCCCGTAGATCTATGGCTTTACGGTGAGTGTCCAAACCGTAGATCTACGTCATGAGCTCAGCTCACTCTGATAAACTGTGAGTGGTACATTTGGGCCTAGATATGAGAGAATACATCTATGTGGTATGTGTGCACCACATAAAACGGATCCTGCAGCACACTGTGTATAATGAGAGAAAAAAAACTGAAATCATGATTTTTCGATTAAAACAGCGACTTTGCAGTGTTTTTTCGTATGTTTTTTATAGTTGTATTTGTGATTTCTTGGTCTCATTTGATAGAATGGAAGACATATTACAGAAATAGAGATGATTTTGATTGGTTTTAGCACTGGAAATGGCTTGAAACTGAGCTCAAAGTAGCGGAAATGTTAAATTTTTGCCGATATTCAAGGGTAAACAAACGACCTCACACGTCTAATACACACCAGCTGGTGGGTCTAATATACATTCACAAATATGGTGATGATATTTATACAATTATTACAGTATTGCATAACAGTAAATCTTCTATTTTTTGGTGTGAATAAAAATTCATTATGTGAATAAATAATCAAAATGGAATTTATTTGTAAAGCCTCAAAATGTAACTAATGAACAGAGGAAATGTTAGTTTAGTGCCAGGAATGCCTACATTGTTTATTCTGGAGCCTATTTTGAAATTGGAATATTTTGAACTTTGTGTTAAATTGGCCAATTAACAATTTCCGATCACTTTATTTTGTAGTTGAAACAGTTGTTTTGGCGATTTCTTGTACTCAATCGATAGAATAGAAGTAATACTAGTGAAATAGCTAAGAATTTGGTTGATTGGAATAATGTAATTGGCCTAAAATGGGAGTCAAAGTCGGCAAAATCGCCGACTCGTAAATATCGCTGACACATCAAAATTCGCGAGAGCATAATTTCGTCAATTTTCCACCAAATTTCGTACTTTTTGTTTTATTACCTTCACAAAAAGATTCTCTACGATTTCATAAGAAAAAATAACAAATTTTTTTTTTTGAAAATTCTTGGACACTGGTGCGTGACTTCAGATTTTGGCCTTGGACCCTGAAAGGGTTAAAACAGCGACTTTGCACTGTATTTTTGTATGGTATTTATTGTTGTATTCTAGTTTTCCTGGTCTCATTTGTATAGAATGGAAGACATATTACAGAAATTGAGATGATTTTGACTGGATTTACAATGAAAAGTACCTTGAAATTGAGCTCAAAGTAGCAGAAATGTTCGATTTTTACCAAAGTTCAAAAGTAAACAAATCATGCTAAGCGTCCAATACACATCTACTGGCGAGTCTAATATTCTTTCACATGTGTGCCAATATTATTTATACCATTTCTACACTAATGCAGTAGTCTGCATAACAGTAAATCTTCTATTTTTTGTGAGAATAAAAATTTAAAATGGAAAACAAAAGAATGTAAGAGGGGCATGGGGACGTGACTAGTGAACAGAGGAAATGGTATTTTAGTGCCAGGAATGTCTTTCTTGTTTATTCTGGACCCTATTTGGAAATTGACATCTTTTGAAATTTGTGTGAAATTGGCAAAATTGCTAAATTCTGACCACTGTATTGGGTAGTTGAAATTTGTAAACTGGTGGTTTCTTGTACTCATTCGATAGAAAAAATGGAGTTCTAGCGAAATAGTTATGATTTTTGTCGACTAGTACATTGGAATTGGCCGAAAATATGGCTCAAAGTGGGCAAAATTGCCAATGCGTAAACATCGTCGAGGCCGCTAATTTCACGAGAGCATAATTCCGTAAGTTTTTCATCAAATTTCAAACTTTTGTGTCATTATGATCGAGAAAAGATTCTCTGTCTTTTCATAAGAAAAAAATTTTTTTTTTTTTTTTTTTGAAATTTGGGGGACCCTGAGAACAAGTCTCTGAGAGGGCCTGTGGACCCTGAAAGGGTTAATAACCTTTTACTCATATACTACTATAACTAATATTACTACTACCACTAGTATAACACCTCACTCTAAGCCTATATATACCCTCTATGTCTATGTATTGTTAGTAACAGCTTTATAAATCTCCTGGAGAGTGAAGCGTTGCCACAGTAAAATGTCACATTAGTTGTAATTGTGTCCTTTTACCTAACATGCATGAACATGTAAGGTAAAAGGACACATGAGCATGAGCATATTAAGAGAGAATGGAGACAAATCGTTTTTAGGACTTGATGTGTTGAGATGAATGGTTTTGAAAACTGACAAATTGAAGAATTGAGACATTTATGCAACATATGGGAATCTTTATTGAAGAAATGTTTTGCCACACAGTGGCTTCATCAGTCTTTTACAAAGCAGGAAGGTGTAAGGAGAGGAGTAGTTTGGGGTAATCAGTTCCTCAACCTGGAGTTGATGTGTTCAGTCCATCAGTCTTGTATAAAGTACAGCACAGGGCCATAGCAGTGGCTTATGTACTGTAGTCAGGTGAGGCAAAGCAGGAAGAGGTGGGGTCATAGTGAAACCATCCACTAGTCTAAGTAGGTCTTCGTCCAAAGATTGGACAAGTTTTGAAGAATAAGAGGATGATGCCCATTGAATTAAAGCATGAAATCATAGAAAAACATGAGCGAGGTGTACGTGTAGTGGACTTGGCGAAACAGTACGAGCGTAGTATTTCTATAATAGGTACCATTCTAAAGCAGGAGTAGTCAATAAAGGCTATAATCTCAGCCAAGGGCATTAAAATAATTTCTACGCTGCAGATATCTGTCTATGAAAAGATGGAGAAGCTGCTGGAGTTTATGATGAATGAGAGCAACCGAAAAAGCACAAAACGAAATGAGCTCCTCCAATCTCCTCTGCCTATCTTTTGCACCCTCCACCTCTGCCAGCATTTTTCGTTAGCCCAAGTTGTCTGATCTCCAAGGTAAATACACTTTATAAAACCAGTTTATTTCTTTACATTCTCTTTTATTATATTTTATTATGTTTTTAAACAATATTTCTTATTTATAAATACATTTTTCTTACTTAAAAACTTGTAACAAAAAAATTGGGGTGGGTCTTTGGGGGCTGGAATGGATTAATGGCATTTCAATTAATTTCAGTGAGGAAAATTGGTTTGATGTACAATATAGTACAATACAGTTTTTATTTCTTTGCAAATTTACATTGAGATTCTGTAGTTAAAATAATGAGTTGCAGTGCAAAGAGAACCACTATCATGCCACGGCATTATGGGCAGACTAAATTAATGGCTTACAGACTACTTAATACTAGAGAAATTGATCATGGTTTGTTTAAGTTGTACATTTGTTTTTATTTAAAGCAGACAGTAAGTTAACTCAAGTTATAATCTGGGAATATTACATTAGGACAATTTGAAGGTATTTCGTAGGTTGTGTATATCAATAGTAAATATTTAAGTTATATTATTGGAATATAATATTGAGCGCTGGTGAAAGTAGTTTACAGTATGAGAATGCTACAATATGGTGTAAGGCAGTATAGTTTTGTGCAGGTATTTATTCTACAGTGTAGAATATTAAGTTATGTGTGAACTTTGTGTATTTAAATTTTGAAATGTTAAGATTTAGGTAATTGGGAGCTTTTTGGTAAATTTAAGTATATTGAGTACTGAATATTTAGTTTAGGGTGAGTAGATGGTTTTTGAGAAGAGTCTTAAATTAATGTTCAGACCAGGTTACTTTAGTATTCACTGGTAATGAGTTCAAAATGTTGGGGCCCTTTATGTGCGCAGAGTTCTTACATAGTGTGATGTGGACACAGGGTACATCGAAAAGTGATCTGCGTCTTGTGTAATGGTCGTGCATTCTATCAAGGTTGGTGAGGAGAAGTGTGAGTGAAGGGTTTATGTTTGAGTGTATTGTTCTATGTATGTAGTAGGCACAAGAATAATTATGGATGTTCTTTATGATGAGTAGTTTTAGACCTTTGAATATTGGTGGAGTATGCTGTCTGGAGTGGGAATTTGTTATCATTCTGACTGCAGCCTTTTGCTGGGTTATTAGTGGTTTTAGGTGATTTAATGTTGATCCCCATGCACAAATTCCATAGGTGAGATAAGGGTAGATGAGTGAGTGATACAGTGCAAGGAGAGCTGATTGTGAAACATAGTACTGTATCTTTGATAGTATGCCTACTGTCTTAGAGATTTTCTTGGAAATTTTTTTGTATATGGGTGTGGAATTTAAGGCTACTGTCAAGGTGGATTCTTAGGAATTTTCCCTCTGTGCATCTTGTGATGGGTGATCCATTTAGCGCTTTGTTAGTGGAACATTTGTGGCTCTGTTTCCAAACTGAATGTAATAGGTTTTGTCAGTATTGAGTGTAAGCTTGTTAGTTATCATCCAGGTAGATATTTTCTGCAATTCAGCATTAACAGTGTTGTCCAGTATGACTGGGTTTGGGTTAGAGGAGACATATGTTGTGTCATCTGCAAATATGGGTTTGAGTAGTTGTGATGCATTCGGTAGGTCATTGATGTAAATGAGAAAGAGGAGAGGGCCAAGGACACTTCCTTGTGGGACCCGAACTGTAATTGGTTGTGTGGAAGAGTTAACTCCATCTGTGTACACATATTGGCTTCTGTTATCAAAGCAACCCGAGTTTCGGCCATAATCCGTTCCAGCAGCTACGCCTAAAGTCGAAGCAATATTTCCCATAAGAAATATTGTAAATCCAATTAATCCGTTCCACCCAAAAAATATTCAGATAAAAATCTTTTTTTTTAAAGAATAAATGCTATAGACTTACATAAAACAACGAGAAATAAAATGAAGCACTAATTTTAATGGATAAATGAACATTTAAATCAGTTTTACCTTTATTGAAGACTCTTGATGGCATATGAGAGAGGCAGGAGAGTTTGGAGGCAGGACAAGGCAGTCCTTCAATATGACACTAATATCAGCTCTGTAGCTTATTTATCTAGCACTATTCATCTATTTTGACATAATAAGCAATATTAATAACATATAAACATGATATACAGTGGGCCCTCGCATAACGCTATTAATCCGTTCCTGAGAGCTCAATGTTATGCGAAATTATCGTTATGCGAATTAATTTTCCCCATATGAAATAATGGAAATCAAATTAATCCGTGCAAGACACCCAAAAGTATGAAAATTTTTTTTTTTTACCACATGAAATATTAATTTTAATGCACACAAACTAAAGAAGACATGCACAGTTACATGACACTTACCTTTATTGAAGATCTGGTGATGATTGATGGGATGGAAGGAGGGGAGTGTGTTGATGGTCTTAGTGTTTAGAAGGGGAATCCCCTTCCATTAGGACTTGAGGTGTCAAGTCCTTTTCCAGGGTTACTTCCCTTCTTCTTTTAATGCCACTAGGACCAGCTTGAGAGTCACTGGACCTCTGTCGCACAACATATCTGTCCATAGAGGCCTGTACCTCTCGTTCCTTTATGACTTTCCTAAAGTGTTTCACAACATTGCCAGTGTAATAGTCACCAGCACGGCTTGCAATAGCTGTGTGAGGGTGATTTTCATCAAAAAAGGTTTGCACTTTAAGCCACATTGCACACATTTCCTTAATCTTTGAAGTAAGCAACTTCTTCAATTTCTCTATCCCCTCCTCCGGAGCAGTTTCCTCAGGTGTGGCCTCTTACTGTTGAAGATGATCTAGCAGCTCATCAATGGTTAGTTCTTCATTGTCCTCCTCCACCAACTCTTCCACATCCTCCCCACTAACCTCACCAATATGAGCACTAGTTCCAGGCATTTTTTCCTGTTCACCTGGGTGTTAGTCAACTGTTGTGGGTCGCATCCTGGGGGACAAGACCCCAATGGAAATAAGTTAGACAGTCCTCGATGATGCACTGACTTTCTTGGGTTATCCTGGGTGGCTAACATTCCGGGGTTAATCGTTTCTCGGTAATTGTTTCGCGTTAAGCCACACCAACAACACTCTCCACATCTTCGAGTAATACAGCTGATGGTGGTGCAGCAACAACAACATCTGACTGTGGTGCAGCAACAGCTGACCATGGTGCAGCAACAGCTGACCATGGTGCAGCAGCAGCTGTGGTGCAGCAACAGCTGACCATGGTGTAGCAGCAGCTGTGGTGCAGCAACAGCTGACCATGGTGCAGCAGCAGCTGTGGTGCAACAACAGCTGACCATGGTGCAGCAGCAGCTGTGGTGCAGCAACAGCTGACCATGGTGCAGCAACAGCTGACCATGGTGCAGCAACAGCTGACCATGGTGCAGCAACAGCTGACCATGGTGCAGCAGCAGCTGACCATGCTGCAGCAGCAGCTGTGGTGCAGCAACAGCTGACCATGGTGCAGCAGCAGCTGTGGTGCAGCAACAGCTGACCATGGTGCAGCAGCAGCTGTGGTGCAGCAACAGCTGACCGTGGTGAAGCAGCTGACTGTGGTACGATAGTATTTATCACCCTTTTTACCACAGGGTTGGCACTAGAAGCTTTCTTTGGGCCCATGGTGGCTTATTTAGCAGTTACAAGCACTATAAATAATGGAATAATAAAAAATGTATCGAATGTATGCATGCAACCAGCCACCCTGGCTTGTAAACAATGACGGCAAGGCAGGCACTCAGGCTGGACGGACAGGTTCGGGACGAGTCATGTTCAGAAACAGCTGATGGTGGTGCAACAGCAGCTGACTGTGGTGCAGCAGCAGCTGACTGATCCAGCAACAGCTGACTGGTCCAGCAACATCTGACTGATCCAGCAACAGCTGACTGATCCAGCAACAGACGACTGGTCCAGCAACAGCTGACTGATCCAGCAACAGCTGACTGGTCCAGCAACAGCTGATCATGGTGCAGCAGCAGCTGACTGATCCAGCAACAGCTGACTGGTCCAGCAACAGCTGATCGTAGTGCAGCAGCAGCTGACTTATCCAGCAACAGCTGACTGGTCCAGCAACAGCTGACTGGTCCAGCAACAGCTGATCGTGGTGCAGCAGCAGCTGACTGATGCAGCAACAGCTGACTGGTCCAGCAACAGCTGATTGCAGTGCAGCAGCAGCTGACTGATCCAGCAACAGCTGATCGTGGTGTAGCAGCAGCTGACTGATCCAGCAACAGCTGACTGGTCCAGCAACAGCTGACTGGTCCAGCAACAGCTGATCATGGTGCAGCAGCAGCTGACTGATCCAGCAACAGCTGACTGGTCCAGCAACAGCTGATCGTGGTGCAGCAGCAGCTGACTGATCCAGCAACAGCTGACTGGTCCAGCAACAGCTGATCGTAGTGCAGCAGCAGCAGCTGACTGATCCAGCAACAGCTGACTGGTCCATCAACAGCTGACTGTGGTGCAGTAGCATCTGACTGTGGTATGATAGTATTTCTCACCCTTTTTAGCACAGGGTTAGCACTAGAAGCTTTCTTGGGGCCCATGGTCACTTATTTTGCAGATGATATCACCAAAAACGCTGTAATAATACGAAATGTTCCGATTGTATGCTTGGATGTTAACGCGGAGGCTGGCTCGTAAACAATGCCAGCGACGGAACATGTGAGGCTGGCTCAGGCCGCACATTAGACGCCTCTCGGACGAATAGCGTTGAGCGAGTTTTTTAGCGGTATGCGAGGCAAAATTTTAGTGATAAAATGTATCGGTATGCGGATTTAACATTATGTGATGCCAACGGTATGCGAGGGTCCACTGTATAGTCTAGAATGAATAAAATATATCATATGTCTCTCTCCCTAACCAACGAGTGTTGCTGTGTTGTTTGTTGTTGGGTGTATAAAGGCCACTGAAAGATAAGTACAGTGGACCCCCGGATAACGATATTTTTTCACTCCAGAAGTATGTTCAGGTGCCAGTACTGACCAAATTTGTTCCGATAAGGAATATTGTGAAGTAGATTAGTCCATTTCAGACCCCCAAACATACACGTACAAA